TGCTTCTGCATAATTTAATAAAAAAGGAAGTTTTCATCAATGAAGGTGATTCTAAAAAAGCTTATAATGGAGCATGATGGTAACTCTTGTTCATAGGAGCAGTAGAAACTGTTCGAAAATACATATAGGTGATATTGACCGGCCCCAACATGCCCAATAAGCCTCTCTATTAGGAATCTAATCTTGAGGCAGACTCAGTTGCAGATAAAAGAGTATAGAAATCAACACTATGCATCACTTTTTTCTTCGCTTTATAAACTTGGATGGAGAGAAGTCAGGGTAGGTGGAGTTGCATAGGGTCGAGAAGGGCGTTATTGGGAATGACCTGGGTCGCCGGCGTGGTGACATGCGAAAGCATATTACTGACCTTTCATTAAAGTCGGTAATCAGGCTACACAATCATAACCTAGAAGAGGGTTATGAACAACAATATAATTATTTTGGTTTTGGCCATGATTCGAGAAAGAGACATATTACATAGGGTTGTTAACATGTGTATCCAGCACTGGCCTGAGTCTAGCTCGAAACAATGTATCTTGCAAAGCTTGGTCTGGGCCAGCTTTTTTACCCTAACATGTGACTCGAAGCCTCCCGCCTAAAAACCAACATATAGGTTCGGTCCCAACCCTAATATTATATATCTAAAGAGAGAACAATTTACCAATAGATTTAAAGTCATCTCGTTGGGTACCACAACATGACGTCTAAAATTTTTTATATATCTCGATAAAAATCCCGATTAATAATAATAAATAAATAATAACTTACCAACTTCAAAAGCTTGAGTGGAATCATTTTCAAAATGGCATATTTTTTGGGCATGCACAACCCAAGTTTTATTAGCAAGGAGATACCACCCAAATTGTACATGCTTTATCAATCGATAGAAATGAGTCGATCCTCGAGATTGACGGTAGGGATTTTTACTTGTTCTATATGGTCGGGAGTCCAGGTGATGCATGCATTTGTATCAAGGAATCGTGACCGTTCATTCAGCAATCAAAGCGAACGGTAGGATGAAACGGCCTCAGGCGAGACATCTTAATGAAAGTGAAGGATCATTTTGTAATTTCATGTTCACGGAATGGTGTTTTCGTAGCGTTAAGATCAATAGGCACCTGCTCTCCTTTTGGGCGGGAGCACATATGATTAGACAACAATATTACAGGCACCCTTATAAACATTACAAATGCCCAGTCAGTCCCATGGTCAAATTAAATAAATGGTCACATAAATGACCAAAGTACCCCTATTTGGGTCTCATTATTACATCCTCAATATTTATGCGTGTCACTAGATAATGATAGTGAAGGCTTAAAAATTTATTTTTATTTCTAACTATGAAATTTGAAGCTCTAATAATACAACAAATTATTATTGAGCAAAACTCTAGTGAAAATTTATTATACTTGATTATAAAATTTGAAGTTCTAATAATAATGTTAAGGCTAATAATTTGTGAACACTTAGACAATATATTGTTCAAGTAATATATTCCAAAAAGGTGCGGTTAAGTTTAAGCTCTAATAATAATGTATGGCCAACAATTTGTGAACGCTTGGCGTGGTTTCTATAAGATTGCAATCTAAAACAATCCAATTAAGGTGCACCTTCAATTTTTATCATAATATGTAATTTTGATATAAAAAATTATTAGAATTATCTAAAAATCTATTTTTCACATCTAATTATAAAATTTTAAACTCTAAAAATAATTAAAATCAAGTAAATTTATGTACATATAAAAATCTTGAAAATAGAAGGTTTAGATAATATGTTGCAAGATGCACTATATATGAGACTCAAAACTTTTTTTTGTTTATTATATTCATACATTTTGATGTCGAGATGACCAATTAGAGAGGTTTTCAACATTAAAACAACCTTTATAGATAGATTTTTTAGGTGCATATTTAATTCTACATTTTAGGGGTTGCAACCTTATATAAAAATTTTCCTTCCAAAAAATGAATTTTTTTGGTATTTCTGATTCTTATCTTAAATGTGCCTCAGTCAATCTCTTATCAAAACACCTTTTAGTCCACCAAAACATGAGCTCCTTTCAACTTGTTGGAAGGAAATTGAAAGGGATCCTAAATGCAATGGACAGGCAAAAAGATATTGTAAAAATAACATGTCAATAATATGCGAGGAAATTAAAGAAAATATAATTATAATGGTAAAAAGCACACAAAAAAAAATTTGATCAATCAATTATGAACAAAGATGCTATTTTAGACGATCATTCCACCCAAGTGGGTGTTTTACACCTTCTGGACCAGCTCCCATGAAACAATTTTCCATCTAAGGAAAGTACTTCAGTGAAATAGTCATATCAAAACCAACCACTTTACTGAAATTGGTGTATAGGTGTATAGCATGCTCCCGCAGGAGCGATATTGAATACTGTACAACAACTTCCTCCGGCAAAACAACTAATTGGGAGATTTTTCTATTCCAAAAATTTTGGGATCCATCTGAGTATAATTATTATTTCTAATTTATTTATTTATTTTCTGATTTTGAGTTTTTGAATGTCTAAATCTTCCTTTAAAAAAATTAGACGGCTCTTGTACAATCTTAAGATGTCATTTCATTTGAGCGTGTAGAGAGTGCGAGTGATTATTATTATTATTTATTATTTATTATTATTATTATTATTATTAAATTTTTTTTTTTTCTTTAAGGTTGGTCGTTGGGTTTTAAAAATTATGTCCCTAAATTTTGAGATCTAAAAACTATACCTAACATGATTTTCATCTAAGGTAGTAGATGCACAATATACTCCTGTAGGAGTAGGCTTGGTTTATTTGACCGTGTGTAATTTGATAATCTCAATTATATCTTGTGTTTGGAAAATAATTTGATAGGCTGTAACCCTATTAAACTAGTAAAGCCTCACCTTAAAACCTACCAAAAATTGTGGTTATGGTGTTAGAAAACCTTCAAATTGATCATCTCAACCTTTACAATTATAGTTAAAAAAATAAGAATTCAAAACCCTAAAAATAGTGTATATTATAACACATTATCTAGATCGTCTATTTCGCTGTAAAAATAAATATTTACATGTCCGTAATATTTATACCATTTTGAGCTTCAAATTTTATAGTAGATTTTAAAAATCAATTTTATGGCATTACGGAAAGGGAAAAGTTTCTATAAGGATGCAACTTTAAAATGTAGAATTACAGATGCACCTCAAAAATCTATTGCAAAAGTTGTTTTAATGTTGAAAAGCCCTCTAGTTGATCATCTCGGCATCGAGATGTATGAATATAAAAATAATAATAATTTAAATCTCAGAAATAGTGCATCTTCCAACACATTATCTAGGGCGTCCATTTTCAAGATTTTCATATGTTTATAGATCTCCTTGATTTTAACTATTTTTGGAGTTTAAAAGATTCTAATTAGATATGAAAATAGATTTTAAGATAATCCTAATAATTTTTTACAACAAAATTACATGTATGATAAATTTTGGAGGTGCGTCTTAATTGGATTGTTTAAGGTTGCAACCTTATAGAAACTGCACCGTTACAGAAATTCTCGATACTCAAAGTACTTTCTGGATATGGATTCAAGGTCAAGATTTACTTTGTTTTCCTAAAACTTAAGACTTATAGAAACTACACTTTTTTTCTAAAAAAAAGGAAGAAAAAAGAAGCATGTTTGGGTACTCACACATATGAGTATTCTATTGATGTATTTATCTTTTTTTAGACACTTATATACTTGTTTTATAATATAAATATATTTAATAGAGAAAAATTTTATAATTAAGAAAGGTAAGATAGATATTTCTATAGAAATATAGTTATAGCTATTAGTGGTTAAGAAGTTATTATTGCTCTATGTGGATGATGTCATGATACTATTATTCTTTATAAATAATAAAAATAATGTCATTCTCTACTATAGATAACAAATTTTGTTTGTTTGTTTGTTTTATAAGAATTTCAAATTTATCTCTGTTTAATTACCTAAAAATACCTCTAAGCAAAAAGTTACTACACGGTGGAGTACAAATATTGAAAGTAAAAAATGTTAAGTACATTATATAAAGAAAAAGTTTATACAAGGTTGCAACCTTAAAATGTAGAATTCCAGATGCACCTCAAAAATCTATCGAAAATGTTGTTTTAATGTTGAAAGCCCTCTAATTGATCATTTCGACTTCGAGATGTATGAATATGAAAAAAAAATGTATCTTGCTACACATTATCCATACCATCCATTGTTTATAGATCTACTTGATTTTAACTATTTTTGGAGTTTAATTTTTTTTAATTATATATAAAAATATATTTTAAGATAATCCTAATATTTTTTTACAACAAAATTACATGTTATGATAAATTTTGGAGGTGCATCTTAATTAAATTGTTTAAGGTTGCAACCTTATAAAAACCACACCCTTAAATAGGTACTCATATTTAATCAAGGAAAATTGTTTCATGCGGCCTAGATCGCATTTCTACACATGCGGTCCAGAAAGTGTAAAGCATTCATTTTAGAGATGGATGCAAGTAGGTATTTCATCTAAAAACAATAGAAACTAACAGTCCAAATGTTTTTTTATTAGAATTATTATTTTTAATTTTTAAATATTATTTTATTTTCATGATCTCCATGTTAGAGATTATATGTCTTTAAAAAGTAAGTCTTAAAATCCATTTAAAAAATAGATTTACTCAATATTTTTTATTAGAATTATTATTTTTAAAATTTAAAATTTATTTTATTTTTATGATATCCATGTTAGAGATTACATGTCTTTAAAAAGTAAAGCTTAAAATCCATTTCAAAAATGGATTTACTAAAAGGCCCGTATTTCTATGTGGGCTTGGCGGTCCTATAATCTATTCTAACATAATCCAAAAAAGGAAAAGATAAATCCTTGATGGGATATATACGTCTTTGATAGGGTTGTCCTGCCCTTTTTGGCTCTATATAAAATGCTTAAAAAAGATGGAATTTAGACATTAGAAAGGAGCCAAAAAAATAAATACGGTTTGGTTTCGCGAAGAATCTCTTTCTCTTCTATGTTCTCTGCAACTCCTCTCTGTAATCTAATTCCTCGGTTCTTCTCTTCCATGAATTACAGGGATTTTCACATGGGTTCCTTTTCTCTCTAAACCTAATTTATCTGTTTTTTTTTTCGGAATTTTTTGGCTCACCATCGTTGAACACAAAGTTGTCTTCAACTTTTTTTTGGCTCAGTCCTGACCAGAGAGCTTCATTCTATCGATCATCGGATTTTTTTTGTTCTTCTAGGATTTCTTGTTCTTGCCTCTGTTTATTCTGTTTTCTGCAGTCTGTATCTTCCTGAAAACTACCCCCTTCGTTTCTGGGTTCCTGGTTTATTTGAGTTGTTATTATTATTTTTTTAAATTATAAAACTTCAGATTTTTCCTTTGAAACTCTCTAATTGCATCTCATATTCTTCCGCAACTTGTTCTATTACCAGTTTTTTTGGCTCCATTAATTCTTAGCCTATTTTTCATCTTATTCTTGGTAACTGTACGCTGCTGGTTCAGTTATGGCTTCTCTCAATTTGTCAGCTTCACTCCAGCCTTCTCAGTTCAAGCTATCTTCCGTTTATATAGCTTCCAGAAGGCAATTCCCTAGAGCTCTGAGCTTAAAACCATATAGGATTAGTGATATTCGGGATCTTTCTTTCTCACCTTTGCCGGAACATCAGAGAACGTACGTACAGTCGAGGTTTCCTTCAAAAACTTGGGGGTGTTCCCTTGATGGTTCTTGGGGTGTTAGGCGCCATGAAAAGGAGTATCAGATTGTGTGCTTGGCCGCTGCTGCTGCAGATGCAGAGGATCACGAAGTTGCTTCTTCTAAAGTGTAAGAACATTCATGGTTTTCTTTACTTTTCCTTTCCCCTAGAATTTCACTTTATTTGGGGTCCTTTATTTTTTTTATTTTATTTTTGAAGGTATTTATTGGCTATCTCTTCTTTTTTTTTTTCAGGGAAAATTCTACACAGAAATCAGCTTTGGTCACTGGCGGCTTTTTCTTCATGTGGTATGTAAATACGTCGTGAAATTAGACTGCTTATTTTTCTTTTTCTATTTTTTGAATAAGAATTCATGGTTAGGGAACTGGAAATTCATGAATAACAAAATAGATATCCTATTTATGAAAAATAATCTAAAAAAGTTATATTTATTTCTTTTTATTTTTACTTGGGTGGTAAATTGAGTGATCCAAAAAACAACCCGCCTAGAACGAAAAGCCCCATGTGGGCATTTTTCCAAAATAAAGGGGAAGGGGAAGGGGAAGGGCAAGGTTTATAAACCTTAAAACTATTTTGAGTGTTAAATTATTTTGATGGTTAAAACCAAAAGAACTAAAGAAAAAACTAAAATTTGAATTTGGATATATTCAACTTCGAAGTTTCTATAAATTGATCCAAATATCATCTTTTTGTTTTGGGTTCAATTTTTTCCATTTTGGACAAACATCATCTTTTTGTTTTGGATTCAACTTCGAATTTGAAGTTTCTAAAAAAAATAGATTCAAAATTTTCCATTTTGGAAGCTTACTAATCGATTGATCCAGGCTGCTCATTGAAGACTAAAGGGTCTTCTCGTCAAGTCTAGATTTGTGGATTATGAAATGGGATTGTATGGACTATGGAGTATGGAATATGGTCTATGGACTATGAATTATGGATTGTGACTGTTATTATATTTTATTTCTGGTTGTGTTAGTAGTCTAGTACTTTGGTTTGGAATTTGGATTATGGAATTTTAATGTGTTATGATTGTGTTAATGTGTTATTTTCATATACTTTTGGATTGGATGTGGCATGACTCCACATAAAAATGTATGAAAAAATGCCAGCCCTTTTTATACAAAATTTGAACTTAAAATAAGATTCATTTTCATGATTTGATCATTTGGTGATTGACTTTAATTAGCAATTGACTTTCTTTGTTTATATTTGTTTATTTTATTCATATTTAAATTTAGATGTTTGAATTTGGGAATTGTTGTTATTCTGAGTTTTCTGTGAGAAAGTTAAAAAATATTTGGGAGTCAGTGTCTATATATTTATTTAGCACTCCGGTTGAATCAGGTAGCACTGTGTGGATGATAGTAGGTCATCCGTTCAAGAATGCATATCTTTTAACTCCAAAGTCCAACTGACTATCTCTTTGACCAATAGCTGCATGAATGTTGAAATGCATGCAGCATAAAACTTGAAAGACATTCAGATATGACATGAACTTTTGACATGCATGCGTACGTGCATACACGTATATGTCCATGTAAACACACGAGCATGCATGCATGCACAGAAGTGTGCATGCATATGCTCTCTTAATACCTGATGAAACTTTTCGATGTAAGTTAATTGAGTATATTCTACTATTTGACCATATCATTACCAAATATCTGTCCATTAATTCTTTTACTGTTTAGGAAGAAAAATATCCAATCTCTTGTTATGTTGATTAATCTCTCCGTTTTGCTCTATGCAGGTACTTCTTGAATGTAATTTTCAATATACTGAACAAGAAGGTTTATAACTATTTTCCATATCCATAGTAAGTTCTCTGTGCTCTATGTAGTTCTATGTTTTCCTGAAAAGGCTTTTTATTTTTATTTTTATTTTTGAAAAGACTGTGTAGTTCTATGATCTTTTGATTCTTTTTTATTATTTTTTCCAGTCTTGTTAGCATTGACTAAAATGTTATCGTTCCTGCTACATATGTATTTACGGTTGGAGTATATTCTTGGGATCTTGTGAAATTTTTATGAACCGATGAGCTCTTGATAGTGAGACCCTGTAATAGGACTTGGAAGTACTTGGATTTCCTTCTTTTGTCTTCTTCCTTTTTTCTTTAACGGTTTTTACTGTGAGTAATTGACGAAGCACAATGCTTTCTGTAGTTCTAAAGGCAACATCAATGGAATCCCCTCTGTAATTGTTTCGACTCTCAATAGTCTATTTGATATTTAATGAAGATTTCAACTGAATCTTTGGTTTTATTTATTTATTTATTTCGAAAGTCCCATGTCTTTAATGCTTATGAGTGTCTACCGAGAAATTTTAACGTAAGTTTGAGTGGGCTCTTAGACTACCATGGTACTAATCCACTTATGAACCCTAGGTTCTTCAGCAAAGGATTTTTGTAGATTGCAGAGCTCTTTTCTCATAGTTCTTGGAGTACTGAGTTATAATTTTGTGTTCCTATTAACTTCTTGGAGTGCTTGCTACAGTTTTGTCTCAGTCGTTCATCTTATGGTGGGGGTTGCTTATTGCCTTGTCTGCTGGTCTGTTGGGCTGCCAAAACGCGCTGTAAGTATAGTTGGATGACATTTGTTATATTGCTTTACATGTGCTCTTATAGTCATATCTATTTACACATGTGTCCTAAAATAGGTCACATTAATACTCTTACATTTGCATGCATCTATAGATGCATATACACTTACATTCGCATGAATGATGTACCTATGCAAATGTTTGTCAAATGAACATTTTGACATGGCATTTTGAGATGATATTTACTCGTAGTGTTCCCATATTGTGATATCAAAGTATATCTTATATTAATCAGCAACTGATCACGAGTCTCATTTTCTGGCCTTTTATTTCTTAGAATACATCTCGTGACTGTTACAACATTATCTAGCTTCTTATGATGTGACTTTGTTTTAACATCCGAGCAGCCAATTGATAAGGAGCTGTTTTTGCTTCTCACTCCTGTGGCGTTTTGTCATGCATTGGGACACGTTATGACGAATGTCTCATTTGCCACTGTTGCCGTCTCTTTCACACACACTATTAAAGGTATGTGTGTTTTTTTTTTCTCTTCATATTAAGTAGGCCTGGATGATGATGATTAAGTAGGCTCTTTGTTTTTTCCTTCTTCTTCTTCTTCTAATTTTAAGTAGTTTTTTTTTTCTTTGTTAGCTATTGAGTCAAAATAATTGAAACTCTGACAATATTGAAGCTCTCATCTGCCATGTGATTTGTGAATTTTAAATCATCATCCAAGCCTTGTCTCAATTATTTGGGGTCGGCTACATGAGTCTTGTTCCTCTATTATAGGTTTAGGATTCATGATAAGATGTGGCAAATTTGTACATTGATTGCTGACCTAACGCAACCCACCTCCTTTGTCGGGGCTTGGGATGTGTTAAGGGAAAGTTTAAGATCCTCACCCTTATTAGACCAATTTTAAATCTAATGCCAAATGGAATTGTGTAGATTGCCTGTCAATGCGTATGGGTTTTCATAGTCATTTGTGATCATCCTGAATTGGGGTGTTCCTTGTGAACCAATTAATGAATTGATAATGAAAGGAAAATTACTGGAAGAATAGAGTGAAGCCCACTTAGAAAAGCCCACGCTTGACGCTATGAAACTCGAATTCGGGCATGAGATTTAATTTTAAATTTTTATCTTTTTAATGAAAGTGGTCTTGAAACTGAAACTTTTTAATAAATTTGGGGAAAATCTGGTTGTTAGAGTTCTCGAACCTTCTTCACAACACTTATTTTCTCAAAGGCCCTTGCTCCTTTGAAGTATTTTATTCTCTAAATCTGCTTATTCCCTTAGTTTTTTTGCTTTGTTTAACATTTCTCAAGAAAAACTCTTCTTTCAATATTGCTAAATAGTTCAAAAAGTATAAATTGCTTATAATATACATTACATAGTTCCTGTTTCTTAGTACTAGCACTTTGTTGAGTAATTCATGACATTATTAGAAGAGTTATGCAATTTTTGTGTTTGCTAATTAAAATCATTATGGTGGCTGCACTTTCATAGCGTTGGAACCTTTCTTCAATGCTGCTGCTTCTCAGTTTGTTTTGGGTCATCAGATCCCCTTTGCCCTTTGGTTATCATTGGCTCCTGTTGTTATTGGTGAGTCATGGTGCTCTATGGCCTTCCTTTTCTCTTTTGGGGTACAAACTACTGGTTTATCTTCCAGCCCTTGCTTTTACAGTCTATAATTCAGATATTTTTCTTCTTCATGTACTCTAGGTGTATCTATGGCTTCTCTTACGGAGCTTTCCTTCAACTGGACTGGGTTCATTAGTGCAATGGTTTCAAATATTGCATTCACCTATAGAAGTATCTACTCAAAGAAGGCTATGGTATGATACATATTTTGATTTTTTTTTTTGAGGTGTAGTTCCATGTCAACTGGGATTATGATATGTGAGAGAGAGAGAGAGAGAGAGAGAGAGAGAGAGAGTAGAAGCCACCATTGGGGTCATGTCCTGCAATGGTGGTCTCCACACTCCTTCCAGGTCCTTCATTTCATCAGACAGTCAAGGTCGTAATGGAGTATGGTTTTCCATATTCCATTGGACTACTGTATTTTCTTGTCAGCGTGGAAAATGAATCATTCTTACCGGTACAAATATGACTGTAATTGCCCTTTTCTCTGTTTTCATCATCTAACACGTGCTTACCTTGTCTCCAATAATTGAAACAGACTGGCATGGACAGCACAAATGTATACGCTTACATTTCGATAATTGCACTTCTGTTTTGCCTACCTCCTGCCATAATTGTATGTTTCTTTTTTGCTGTTCTTTGATTTTACCTGGGGCACTTGGCTTTGGATATTTTGTTTATTTATGTGTCGCTTATTGCTTTGTATCCAATACTCTTGCAGATTGAGGGGCCCCAACTGGCGCAGCATGGTTTTGCTGATGCAATTGCAAAAGTGGGCCTTTATAAGTTCCTCTCTGACCTATTCTGGATTGGCATGTTCTATCATCTTTATAACCAGGTGTGTGATGCTATAGTTATTTTTTTCATGGGTACATTCACCTTTTTTACCCTCTTTTTTTGGGGTAACTTAAAAGGAGAAGTATATTATTGTTCAATGACTCTGAGAATCATAGTTCATTTAGGCCTTGGCTGTTCGATGAAATAAACTGTGATGGAACGAGTTGGACCAACTGGAACAGGACGTGACCATATGATGCGTCTGAGTCTCAACATCATCATCCATTCATTTCATTGGGCTGTCATGATCACAATGGAATATGATTTCCCACTTGCATTGGGCTACAGCATATTTTCCCTTCTTAGACCAAGAAAACAAGCAAGGAAATATCCGTCTCTAATTCTCTCTAGCTTCATCTCTTTCTTGTTTTAGGTGGTAATAAATCAATTTATCTTCTCACATTGATGGTAAATCTTTATTTATTGGCTTCCAATATTTTGACTGCAGGTCGCTACAAATACTCTTGAACGAGTTGCGCCCCTCACACATGCTGTTGGCAACGTGTTAAAGCGAGTGTTTGTGATAGGATTCTCCATTGTGGCATTTGGTAATTGAAGTCCTCTTTCCTAATCTTTGGAATTGTTTTGTTGTGCTCTGTAATGACAACGTTTGTTAGTCTTGTCTTTTACTTTCTTATAAATTTCTTTTACTTTTCCAAGGCAAGCTGCTTTTTGCATGCTCATCCTTTGTCTTTAAGCTATAAAATAGTATATAAGTATGCAATGATCCTATGCCTTATGGAAATGCATAGTTCATTTGGGACGTCACCTTCTGATGAAATGATGGATGTTGATAGGGAGAATGAATGGGACCCTCCAGAACGTGCGACTCTCTCCATCACTGTCCATCATTGCTTTTGATGGTGATGGCCCCAATGGGTTATGGTTTCCTTCTTCCATTGCATTATGATTACAATCTCATATCCTCCTATCCTATGTATGACCTTTCACACTCAGGTCCAAAATCTTGAACTTCAAACAGTTTTGTCCTGTGGTATTAATTAAAATTTGAGATTTTACGATGCATTTCATCCAAATTTCAGACATATATCGCAAGTACCCAGACAAAAAGGAAAAACACTAAAAAATGAGTACTTAGACGTAAAATGGCTGGAAGGGCTAATAGAAGCCCCGCCGGCTCACTGCTTCCTGGCAATGAAGTAGAGACTTCCCATTTGGCTGTGAATTTGAAGAAGTATATTGTGTTCTTGATTTCTTGGTTTCAAATTTCTTGACGGAAAAATTCAGTTGATTTTCTGGTTTTCTAACCAATCTATGGATTTTTGAATTATACAGATATCTTTTTGTTTACTGTATTTTAAGATTCTCATGCTTGCAATAATTTTTTGATTGTTTTTCTGAATCTAATTTTGGTTGTCTTTTTTAAAACTTATACAGGGAATAAGATCTCTACCCAGACGGGTATTGGTACAGTGATTGCAATTGTAGGTGTCGCGCTCTATTCTCTCATTAAGGCAAACATGGAGGAGCACAAAAAGGTATGTTACTTTAAAGAGAAAATATATATGTTGTACAGAGTATGTTACTTTAGGGAAAATATTAGATGCACTACAAATCTTGCCTGAAAACACAATTCGTGTGGACAAACCTGCAAATTTATTTTCTTGACCTTGATAATCATGGATATGAAGAAAAAATGGATTTCAAGTAACACATTTTTTGGAAAATATCCTCTTGGTCATATATCCGTCAGATTTATACTATTTTTGGAGCTTCAAAATTCCATTATCAAGGGCAAGCCATCACAATTGTTTCTTGCATTAGAACCACATAGTCCACTGGGGTTTTGGGGTGTGGGTTTATCAACTATGGTAAAGCCATGGCCATTTGAAAACCACACGTATAAATTGATTTTCTGTTCTTTTAGGTATATCAGCCTAAATAGTGCAGCAACATTGCGAAATGCAAAACCAGCATCATTCTTTAAGAAAATTTGCGGTTCTTTCTTTGAATGTGAAATACTAGTGCCAATTACCTTCATACCAGTAGCCCTTCTTTCTCTCTCTAACATATTTCTTGTTTTTTTGTTTTCTGATAATTTCAAAAGGCTGCTGCTTCCTGAGGAACTGTAAAATATTTTTGGCGTTTGTATCTATTTTCATTCACTGATGAAGAATTGTGTGAATCCCCCACCAATTATGGCATTCGGGGCATGCTCAATAATGAAAGCCTTTTAACCATTTGCACGGTTATATGGAAAGCTTAGTATTCTTTCTTGGCTAAATGTATGAACGCCTTTAACAAAAATGAGTCTATAAGGCTTATGCGTCATAAAAACAAAATAAAGCCTCCTTGTCTGGAAAATACTTTTGGTGACGACGGCTCTAAAATCAATTTCCAACACCGATAAAAAAAATTGAAATTAAAACATGGTGTAGATCTTGTGGATATGTGAATACTTAGTTTTAAAGCAAAATGGACAGTCTAGATAATTAGTTACAATATCCACTATTTTTATAGCTTGAAATCTTAAATTTTTTTTTTCACAATGGTAATGTTCAAGTCGAGATGATTGATGTAATGGCTTTTGAATGCTTGGCTTGCAATTTCTGATGAGTTATGAAGTGAGGATTTACTTATTTTGATAGGGTTGCAACCCTATCAAACCATTTTCTATTGTCTTAATTATTCATGCTGTAAGTTTTTGGCTTAATGATTGCCCTTTGGCAAATCATCTCATCATAAAAGTTATGGTTTCTCAAAGAAAATAATTTTTTGGCTTAATGATTGCCCTTTGGCTATTCATCGCATCATAAAAGTTATGGTTTCTCAATTCTCAAGAAAATAAAAAACTTGTTTTTGTCAGGTGGAAACCTTTTGGCTTTGATTGTCTAAAAAAAGTACAAAAAAACCTAAAAAAGAGGGAGAATATGTTTAACGTAAAATCAAACAGAATAGGTTAAAAAAATAGTGAAAAAATAGATTTTGAAAAAGTTGATTTATGAGGGGGGAGTTTTAGAATAATAAAAAAGAAGAGAAAATGTAAAGATAAGTATTCAGGCCAAAACACTTTTCAATATTCGTTAAAATGATAGAAAATACAAAAGAGATATTACAAATGAACTTCTTATTTTTTTAAATTTTTTTTTGAACTTTTTCTTTTAATATCCTTGAGTCAGATGATCCAACTCAAGGATACTAAGACTCACCAAGGTGGCGAGTCTAAGTTGGTTCGGCCATGTTTTTGCACACTGGTTGATATCGGGTTTTTCTATTTTCTTGTTTTTTCGATTTTGATACAAAGCACTATATATTAAACATTTGGGAAAACACCTCAAATCTCAACGAAAATATCGAAAAATGTAGTTGTGGGTCGAAAAGCAAATTCTTCATCTCTACCGCTCATGGATCTTTTCTTTTTTGGACAAGGTTTACAAAATACAATCCTATGGGCAAATAATTGTCGATTACAAATTTAGAAGCATTCATGCCTAACTTTGCAAGAATGAGCTATAGCCATATCATTCGCCTCTCTATAAACATGTCAAAAGTCTAGTTCTAGACTAGTAATTTCATCCATTAAGTGGAACCAGAGGCCTTAAGTGCCGTGGTGGTTTCCAAATCTTTTTACACCAAGCAATACAAAATTGGCCACCACATCGCTCTTTAACTACTCGAATGCCATGGAATAAAGCATTAACTTTGCATTATTTGTTGTTCTTGTCAAAAGAGGAGTTCATACTCTCTCTGTTGGTTATTTTATTTATGTAATCTTGTATTTTTGCTCGAACATCTTGTATTTTATGTATGAATTAATGATAAGTCGTACGTTACCGTTCAAAAAAAAAAAAAAAAAAAAAAGAAAAAAAACTTAACGTTATTTGCTGTCTCTGTTCTACATGGCCCATAGTAACAACACCCATCAAAGTTGAGCACGCATTCTTGAAGTGGTGGTTTCCATCTTTCTTTAGCTCTTGACAAAGAGTTAGCTTGCCACATAAGTCTCTCAAATTTAAAATAATATCAACCTTTAATACGCCTGCTACCCTCTTTTGTTATTGAGAACCATAATCATACTGTATGCATAATCTTTTCTTGGATTCATTGAAAAGGCAGTACATCTCCTCCAAAGTTCCTTCGATTATATTCCAACATTTTCTCGCAAAGCAATGATCCTTTAAAAATATTCCAAATAACTTCCCCCCTTGTTGGAAGTCTTGAAATACATATAACTTCCCCTCTCTTTGGAAGTCTTAAAAGACACAGATTTTCTATAATCACCATATGGCCTTGTGGTAGAATTAGGGGTTTCTTATCAAAGACAGGACCACTTCAAGAGACTACTTGAAAGGGCAATGAAGGAAAAGATGTTTGACAATAAAATTTCCCCTTTTTCTCATATTATCTACTGTTAGAGTTATGCAACATAGGATTCAAATAAAAATCCTAACCTTATTCGGAATAGCCCATTTTCAAATCCTATAAATTCTCCTGTCACTCCATCTTAAACGATCATGAAATAACCTTATATATACATATTTGATCGAGAAAAACTCTATCACTTTCCTCCTCCCAAACCACCTCATCATCTCCCTCTCTAGAAACATGCATCTCTTGCAATGAATTTAACGGCTCAGATCTCTAGAAACATGCATCTCTTGCAATGAATTTAACAACTCAATCAATTGGGATGTGATCCTATTTGACTGAAAAAAACACTATTGCGATTTTGTCGGAGGATATATTTTTTTATTTTTTTTATTTTCATTATTTTTATTTTCTTTTGGCAAAGATCACTTACATGTAGTCTTATTACAATAACTCTTGCTTCAAAGAAAATAAAACTAAAAAATCCAAGATCTTAAAAACCTTGATGTCTTTAAACCAATTTTCTTTTAAACAAAAAAAATATCCATATTTCTTATGCTCGGGAATATAAAGACAATAAATATGACAAGAAACAAAATAGAGTGCTGGAGATTACTTCAATCGAGATTATTACACTCACATCGAGTCACCACCATCCGATGGCAAGGGATCAATGATCAATCTTCAATCTCAACCGGGAAAGCAAGTTTAGGACAAACCTTCTAATGGAATTATGAACTCCTTTATCACAAAAATCAAACCCTTAAGTGAATCCCCTAACAACTTAGTTTGAGAGATATGCTTCTCTTTTCTACCACAACCCTATAGTTTAAAAACCCTAATTACAGATGAGAGATTATGAGAGAGCTAGGAGAACTACCATGAGAGAGATATCAAATATGAGAGAGTGGGGCATACCCTTTTGGGTCTCTTGAGAGAGAGAGACTTTCTTAACAGAGAAGAGAGAAATTTTAAGTGGGGCTACCTCTTTGTGGGATAAAAGAGATCTATGGGAATTAGGTGTAAGAGATAATGTGCAGAGATTTTGCGTAGAGACAATTCATTTTTATAGGCTTTGAATAAGATTAGGGTTTTTTAGAGTTTTTCTTGACTTGCCTCTACTTGTGATATTGAATACGAACCATTGGTCTTGGGTGACTTGTGGGGTAAAAGTTTTGAGCCATTCATTTCATAGATGGGCCATCAACATTATGAAGGTGCTAGAACTTTTATCTTCCATTCCTAAATCATTTTTCCATCAATAAAAATTCAATAAATAATTCTATTCATTATATAGTGCTTACCAAAATTATGCACAAGCTTTCTCATGCTTTCAAAAAATCCTTTGAAAGCTTCCTCAAGGTAAAATCTTTCCAAAACACGTCAAAACTTTCTCTTCAAGCCACATCTTGAAATAACACAAGGAAAATTTTATTAGGGTGAGGTGTACCACCCTAGGTGGTACTTCATGGGCCCCACCCACATGCAATGGTTGAACCATTAACATATTGGGCTTCCCATGCAATATTAAAATTATTAAAATTAATTATATGATTTTTAAAAATCTATAAAATCAAATTTGAGTATTTAAATCAATCTAAAATCAATATATCTGTTTTTATAAATCCAAATTTGATAAATAAAATAACTAGAGATCTAGAAAAATTCAAACAATAATTCTAAAAATCATATATCATATCATATATCATTAAAACAAATACAATTAAATTCATTAGATGGAAAAATGATCCATATGGTTTAGGAATTAAATAAATAAACGTTAAGGCACTTCACCTTCAACTGTGGACTACGGTCCACACTTACTTTATCAAACCGACCCAACGTTTTTCATGACTTACTGTCTATATAGGGGCTCATTACAGTCCAAATGTTTGAAAATATGCCCCACGCATTTGATTCCATTTTTGTCTTGATTCAGCAATTCTTTTCATACTTTGACGATTAAATTTTGGATCAAGTGAATGATTTATTGTTATTTTCAGTATAATAATTATCTGATGATAGGAAAGGCCGGAGTAACGGTTTTGTTTATTTGATGATTTTTTGTTCTTTTCATAGCTAAAGGATTAAATTCTATTGAGTAATGGTTTTATTTGTTTGATCTATTCTCTGCCTTGCTAGACTTGAAGAATTAGGATCGAGAATTGGGAGATTCACAGCTTACTCTGCGTATTTTGAATGGGGAACTGTATGGGGCAGTGAGAGTAGAGGCTCTGGTTTGAAGTTTTGTGATGAAGATATTTGGTTCAAAGCAATAAAGTAGAAGTCATGAGAGCTTCTCGCTCATGTATTTTCAAGGCCAAAAAATATTCTTCATAGAGAGAGAGAGAGAGATGAAACAATGTTGTAATCATATAATTCGAATTTGAATTTTATGCAAGCAATGCTAATGGAGATCTCACTCTCTCTCTCTTAAATTTCAAAACAATTGATGTATTTTATCTTGTGCCTACATGAGTAAAGTTTTTCTTATTCAATGGGAAGTGTTTTGGCCCTCTCTCTCTCTCTCTCTCTCTTTATATGCCTTGTATATGTTATTGGTTATGAATAACATTTGATACGAAAATGGGCCTAAGAATAACTTGATGGAAAAAATTACTAATTTTATTGTAATTTTTCTCTCTCTATATATATATATACACACACATATCTTATGTCCATGTAAATTAATATGAATTTCTTATGAATATAGCATATGGTTATCTTCTTGCAGCTGCATGAGTCTAATGGAATGTAAAAAGAGAAAGATAGCATATAGCTGCATGAGTCTCAATAGAAGCACATCTTATGCCTTCTTACAGCTGCATGAATTTCTTAGGAATATACCTTATAGCATTTGTGCTTGGGTATCGTCCAAGAAACATACAATGCTTAAATCTTGGTATTTTAGGGGTGCCCTTATGATCATGTGAGTTTAAGAATCTAAACATTGCTCCAGTTGTGCCTGCCATACCTCAATATCAAATTGGAAAATGCAGTCCCTGCCCCAACACATTCACAAGGAACAAAGAGTGATGCTTTGCTTGAAATCCTATTCAATGACTTATATGTGTGAATTGCAATTGAAAGCATAACTTGCTTTCCCTCCAACCTCTATTAGAACAATAATTAGCAAAAGATAGAGCATGTAATCAAGTAAAAATATGTTTGTTACATTTGATGCACACCTTCAATATTGCATCCACATTTAAGCCTTCCAATAACTTCTCAACAAAATCACTAGGACAATAATCATTATGTACAACTCCAAAATTATATATACAAAGTTGTCACATGTAAATGCTAAAAAATCTTGTAAGTAAAGTAGTCATTTCTAGCCCCAAAATTGTGTCAACACCACACCAAGAATGGTGTTCTCTAACATATAATCATAATGATTGTGTAAATTATCGAATGTTACAACACGCCAATATGAAATATCCGACTCCATGACTTCTGTGACGCTCATATGTGCTCCACAATTGCATCTTCTCAATGATTGATATCCGACTGCATGACTTCTCTGACGCTCATATGTGCTCCACAATTGCATCTTCTCAATGATCGATCTCTTTCTCCTTTATTTTCAGACAACTCTTTGTTTGTTAAGTGGCTGCCCTATGGCAAACATAATATCTTCTACTTGTGTACCCGTAAAAAAGTACTCAAGTTTGATTTTGAGTACCTGCAAAAAAATGACTCAAATAGATAATATTGATACAATAGAGATTTTTGGGGCTTGTTCATTAAAAATTATAATGGCTATGTAAATCAAAGCCACAAGGACTTCCATTTGGGCCAAAACTGGCTGAATTCAAGCAAATATAATTCCAGTCATACAAACAAAAAGAAACCTAAATCTGATCCTGCGTCTAGAATTTAATGATGACAAAAAGTTAAACATGAAGTTAACTGATCCTGTGTTGACGAGAGCATTTAGGGGATATATTCATAACAGGTAATATATTCATCATTCCTGGGTGCAACAACTAGCCTAAAAGTCTGTCAAATTTAGATTTAAATGACATTAGCAAATTTAGACAGTTTCTATGAGAGATATCAGCAGCATTTTGCAACTTGCAACTTGAATGTTAATTTAAAGATGCCAAATATAAATATTTAATGTCCATGAAAGGGAAAGAGCAAAGTATAGATGGGACTGAAATTGATTTAGCTCACTATGGCACCTTTGGATGGAAGGCCTTGCATCCAAACCTTGTGGTATATTCACCTTGCAAGGACTTGTACCTGTGTTCGTGATGCACACAGGTATGGGGCATCAGATTCACCTTGCTGTGATAAACAGGATTTGGCCATGCGATTGTATTATTAAGAGACAACAAAGTCCAACACTAGTTACTAATATCCATTTGATGATTGAGTAGCCAAAAAATGAATAATGACTTAGTTGGCTGAATGTGTCTACTGAAGCAAAACAGAAGATCAAGTCGCAATCAATTTAGTGAATGGTTAGTGAACAAGATGAAGAGTTCAGAAGAATCTGTGCTAGTATGGGTGATATGTCTAACACAGGTATGACATCCAAACAGAATCATCCATGTAACATAGAAAACAAAGAATACCTCCTGCCCCTGTTCTTAGGCATACAGTATTCAAAATTAAGTTTCATTGTTCTCTATGTCAGTCCAATCCAGACCTTTGCATATTAGGACCCAAAAGAGCAACCAAATTCTAGGCTCTCAATAGGAGGTTCACCACCCAAACACAGTAGCTCCTCATGACTGTGGTCTAAAAGGAATAAGAACCAGCCACATCCCCTAATCCTCTCCTGAATGACCAATGCTCTCTACCTGCCTGCCTCAAAAATGGCAGCAATTATGCTTGTCTCATATACACCAGAATATAGGAATGCTACATAAATTTCACAAAGGAGAGGCCCTTGTTGCCAACATGTCAAAAATGGCCCTACTGTATAGGGCATCACCATCTCCAAACCAAAAAGATGCAGGACGTAAATATCAAATGACATAGGCATACACAAAATGGATGACATGATTGTATTATCCATAAAGTACAACTACCTTCAATGGATATGACAACTACATTTAATCAGTTCCATGCGAACTAGAGTGATATTAGAAGAGTTTTTCCAATTAACATAGGGATTCAACGTCACTTTCGCACACTGCAACAGAGTGTAAATCTCTCTCTCCATTATAAACCATTTAAGGGAAAAGCATGAACGATTAACAAACTAGCCTAACCAATATTCTAAGCCTCACATCCTTTCTCCAATGCCATTGGAAAGGCCAATCATAAGACTTAAACCCCCATTTTCTAAGTCAAAACAATAACAACAAATGAAATATGTAAAATGCTTGGATGCATAAGAGTGCTTCAATATGGGTAACCTGAAATCCTAGTATGCAAAATACTGAAACTGTATATTTAGTGTTGCTGCCAAAGAAAACTCAGGAAAGTAGGCCCCAATTCCAAAGAAGGTGATCAAGAGGAGGCCTCATTTCAGAATAAAAATAAAAGAGAACCCCAAGTAGGCCTTGATTTCGAAAAGATAATCACAACAAAAGTTCTCGGATTTCAGGAAGAATTCCAAGGGAGAACTTCTTAAACAGAGCAAAGGAAACAAAACCGAAAAGAAAAACAAAAGAAAACACAAGATTGTCGAAGTTGAATTCAAGCAAAACCTCAAAACAATAGCATTTTTCTTGGGCACTTGAACTAGAGTGAATTTATTGATCTACGGGATTTAAAACACACAAATCACAGAAACCGAACAAAACCCACGTCCCCAAATCCATAGAGAAAAACATGCTATGAAGAAAAACCCACAAAATTCTGAAGTTGAATCCTACCTAAAACAGAAAAAACCTAATTGTAATGTATACAATTTCGCTTTTGCAAAGTAAAAAACCTATATAGAAAATCACACCAACCGAGACAACGCATTTACAACCAATCCATGGGTTCTCAGAAATGGTAAGAGTACACTTGAATTTTACAGATTATTCCCATCATTTTGCTTATAAAAAATGAATTGAGAGAGAGAGAGAGAATGGCAATCATAAGATATTCTTACCTGGTTTGAATGGAGATCTCCTGGCTGGCTTTTACAAGGCATGAGCTGGGTCCACATCCATGGCTGGAAGGGCGAAAATTAGGGCTTTCTCGAGTTGAAAACCAAGGTCTCGAGCTTTCTGTCGATGGAGGGAGAAAGACGGGAGGGAGTCTTAGGCGAGGTTAAAATTTTAAAAGTTGTTCGCTTTTTATTATTGTGAAAATAATTGTCACAATAAAATATAAGGGCTGAGTAAAAATGTGGTCACCAGGGGTCTTTGAATTGGGGTCGTTAACATCCCAAATCTCATATATATATATATATATATATATATATATGACGAAA